AATAATTATAAGAAACAATAACACAATGTTATCCTTTTAACCGGTATATCTTCCTTTTTTTTTTTTTTTTTAGGAATTCATTTCATATCCTATGTTATTTTCAAAAACTTTCCTCTGCTATTTTTTAAATGTGATTTGATGTTTCTGAGGAAGGAACCTCATCTCCAGTGGATTTAGGATGTAAGTTTCTGTTAGATTACTGAGCACTACACTTAATCCTAAGAAGCCAAAGTAAATGTTCCTACCACCTGTACAAGTTAGTCTTTATATGACTTAGTGTCAAAGATGATTTCATATAATGTGGTATAAAGAGTTAGTTACCGTCTCATCATCTCCCAGTCTTCAAATTCTTGATCTAAATGTCAAATTTTCACTAATGGGGAAGCCAGAGCAAAAATATTAAGGTTTGAGGGAAAGTGCTACAAAAATTTCTTTGCCATATAAGTAATTTGATGTAATTTTTACTGTAGTAAGTATATCTACTGTATTAATTTTACATATTATATAACTTTTTCAATTTATTTTCTGAAAATGAGATAAACTGGTGGTCTATGTTGAAAGGAGAAAAGCAAGCATTGAAAACCAAAATTTATAAAAAATGCCGTGCTAGGCAACACCATGACCAAGGCCTAGAGCATTTCTTCATTAAATTGTCAAGTTTTCCTTTTGCTTTTCATGTGCACAGCATCGGGAGGAACTTAGTATCGGGTCTTATGTCCAGAACATGGTGCCCCCTCATCTTTTGTTCCCAGGGTATGTTTTAGTGACAGGAAAAGGGGAATAATGTGATGCCATGTTTCAAGAGAACGTAGGTTATCTTACTGTTCTTAAAGATAACATTCACCTATCACTGAAAAAGAGTTTTCATGATTTACAGCTATTAACCTGGCTTTATGTTCTTTAGGTTAAAATTACTCACATGAGGAAAGATAGGATACAGAACAGGTATGTAACCAATGTTTTTAATATTCTGAGCTGCTCTAAGAGGAAGAAATAACAATAGCTGAAATTTATACAGCATTTAATATATATGGCAATATTTTAGGAGCTACACATATATTAATTGATTTAATCCTCACAACAAGCCTCTGAGTTCTGTCCAATGATGGTTCTCATTTTATAAGAAAACAGGATGGTACAGCTTCATGACCTGGAGCGGGGCAGGCCCAGCCTCTGCACACTGGCGACCTGCTCCGCAGCCAGGGCCCTTGCGCCCTGCTCCGCACGCCTTAATTACCAGGATCGTGCAATCACAGTAACAGGGCTAAGTGATATATTTACATTTTTCAAAACAACTGTGGAGAGAAAAAATTTATTTTAAATAGGACCTTTGAATCTTACTCTTTCACGTGATATCAGAAAAGCTAGCTACAAGTTTTGCCCTTGAAAAATATATTTGCAGGCTTGTTTATAAAAATAATTTTCTGAGCTCAAATCTTATTCCAGAAGATCAATGTCTGCATGGTACATTGTGCATAATTTAATTTTCCCAGTTGAACATCTTGACACTATATGAACCATGAATGCATGAAATAGGAATTCCAAATGTCTTCCACATGGTGAGAGGACTTTCCAATATTTGTGCAGGAAGCTTAAGAGTAATTTGAAATTAAGTTATGCCTGTTCTTAGTGACTTTTATTATGTATGCCTAAAGTATTAGCACTTTTCTCTGAGTGGGACTCTGAGGTGATAGATGAGTCTGCTGTCTGTATTTAGGCACTTTGCTCATTTCCTGAAAGCTGTGTGGAAGGCATTTGGATGCTCATTAAGTTTCCAGCCATTCTCCGAGTACAACAGGTGGCAAATCAAAGCTTCCCTGGCATGTCATGGCTGATTTCCTCAATGTCTTGGAAATAACGGATGGCATTTGCATGCTCTTTGTAGTACCAGCAGATAAGAAGGACATGAAATAGCAACAAAAGTATTTCCAAAGCATAGACAAACACACAGGTCTAGGGAGGTTATGACTAATATTCTTGCTACTACACTTTCTATGTGTATACATGATGGCTTCATCTTTTAAATATTATTACTCTTTCAAACTATGAAATCATGATTAAGTCTCCTGTGGTTAGCTACCTAATAAAAGCAGGTATATTAAAGGAATAAAAACATCCCGACTTAATGAAGCTATATCATAAAATTACAAACTTTTAACTCTACATTTATAAATATTGAGTACTAATGACTATGTGTTCTTAAATAGTCTCTTTTATGAAATTACTTATTTATACTGAAAATCTACCACATCATAAGGAAAACATATCACTCACATCCTGAACTAGAGAAGACAAAGCCTATTCGTCTAAAAATACAATCTGTGATTTAAATAAAATATTTGATAGTTACACAACAGTACTTGGTAATTATACAGAAAAGGTTTTTGTCATTATAATCTTGTCACTGTGATTAACATCAAAGTTAGAAAAACAAAGGAAGATATCAGTTATACGATCTCGACATTTGTCTGGCAACTGCCTATGACCTTAAGAATAAAAGCATTTGCAGGAGGTAGCAAATCGCTAACATCTTTCCCAATTTGAAAAATTTCAAAACATTCAGGTTCCTAACATAGGACGACCTAAATATGTAAAGGAAATCTTGTTGGACATTAAGGGAGAGAACAACAGTAATACAGTCATAGTAGGGGAGTTTAACATCCCATTGTCATCGATGGATAGGCCTTTCAGATTAAAAGTCAACAAGGAAATGGCAGCCTAATGACACACTCGATCTGATGGCTTTAATTGATATCTTCAGTGCATTTTACCCCAAAGCAGCAGAAAATGCATAGAACATTTTCTAGGATATAGCACATATCAGGACACACACCAAGTCTCAATAAATTTAAGAAGACTAAAATCATAGCAAGAGTCTTCTCTGACCTTAATGGCATAAAACTAGAAATCGATCGCAACAAAAAAAACTGACAAACTAAGATATGGAGGCTAAGTAACATGTTACTTAACAATGAATGGGTTATCTATGAGATCAAGGAAGAAATCAAAAGATACCTTCAAATAAATGAAAATGAGAACCCAACAGCCCAAACCCTGTGGGACAAAGCAGAAGCAGCCCTGAGAGGGATGTCATAGCATTCCAGGCCTATATTAAAAAACAAGAATATTTCAAATTAACGTTCTGAGTTTACACTTAAAGGAACTTGAAAAAGAAAAACACACAAGCCCAGAGTGAGTAGAAAAAAATGAAACTTAAAAATCAGGGCAGAAATTAGAAAATCGAGTAAAAATAAAATAGTTCACAGATGAAAAGAGAAATGGGCTTGGGATATTTTTCATGATGGAGAACATAAAATACTAAAAGGTAATGATAACAAACAGTAGTAATTGAAATTGTTTGTTTTAGAAAGAAAAAAACTAATACCTTCATCCTACTGCTCTCTCTCAACGCGAAACGGCCCTGTGCTCAGGAGCAGGGACAACTGTATTGCAACACAGCACCGACGGCAGTTCCTGCCGTGGACTTGGTGTGGGCAGCCAGGCCCTGCCAACCTACAGGCGCGTGCCGCAGGACTCCCTGCCCAGATCCTTCCCAAACGCCCCTTCTTCTCAATGTCTTCCTCTATTTATAATGCTACAATGTCCTTTATAATGAATGCTGAATATGACTTTTTAAAAGTTGTTTTAGAATTCTATGATCTTTCAATCATCTTTTAAAAGCTTCTTTTTAAAAATGTGTGGGCGTTAATAGGGAACTGCCACACATTACTCTCTAATATGTAATCACATATTGATTTATTAAGTCATTTCTTTTGCTAATTAACAAATGACAAGGAAATAACTTTGGCTTTTTTAGTAAACTACTGTCACAGACTGTACTTTTTCACTGAAGCAGCTAAGGCCTAAGCATTTAGTAAAAACACCTATCTGAACTTCTACCAACAAATCCTAAACCATCAAACAAAAAGCAGGACCAAAATTTCTGAGTGCAAACCTGGAAGGCATAGCTTTCATGCCTGTTAATTATGTTAATTATATAAAATATACTCATAAAATATTATATATGATACCACATGATGTCTAGAAACCCAATAATTTGACATATTTATTCTAAAATTAAACCATTTTATGTAATGCACTTTAAATACAACCTTCAGAAAACAGTATACATAACCCATACACTGAAACTAGGAATATTGATTTTAGAATGGTCTAATGCATACTGGTGATTAATTCAAAACTCTATAATGTGAGAACAGTATAAGGAAAAACCTACTTGCCTTGTATTACGCTATCAAACAGTTCTGGAATTTAAAAAAGAACTATAAAATAAGAAACTGATTTTAAAGGAGTAACCAGAGCTAAGGCAGAACTTTTCTAAGCCTTCTCAGTTGCCACGTGAAAAATTTTACACAATTAAAAAATATTTCTTAACATTTTTAGATGGTTTAAAAATATGTAAAACAATGTTGGAAACTAAGCCCTAAGCAAATATTTCAAAAGATACATAAAAATTTATGGGAGTAGTATATGGCTCAAAATAGTTTAGTAAAATGATTTACACTTTTCAGTGAAAATTATTGACAGGAAGTAAAAGTGTAAAACTTTTTAGAGGGATTATTATAATGGATGAATCATAAAAACAGCTGCCTAAATGTTGGATTTATGGGGAAGTGAAGACTCTGATTCTAGTAAAAATCTGATAAGATCTTAAGAATAAAACTAAATGTCAAGGTAGACATTCTAGACTTTAAAGAATTCCTATGACCTCAAATGAAGTGGCTTATACATTTATTTAATTAAGGGGAATATTAGGTTACAGAGCATAATAATATACAGTCCAGATAGCAATGGAAAACTTTTAAAAATACCTGTGCTTAATTTTTAATTCAAAAATTTAATTGGTTGAGATGGCTGGTGAGGATTTAAGGAACAGCACTATATTTTTATTTTCATTTTCACCCCCTTATCTTTCTGCAGTTTTTGTGACTCTCACAATTATAGTTCTGTGAAGCCAAGTCTATCAGTGCAGTATTTACCTTTATCCCCGGAAGTCCAGGAAGCCCAGGAAGCCCTGGTTCACCCTACACAGGAAAATCACACAACATTATAGAACAATATTCACTCAGTCACAGTCTCTGGAGAAAGCATGGCAAATGCTCCTAGCTGAATACTTGCCATCTATATATACACTGTCTCGTTTCAAGTTTGGTGAGATTATACAGTTCAGTCAACTCTTGATTCAGAAATTGGTTGACCATTTTGCAGATATTTGAGGATTTTCCCTTTTCCTGCCAGTTCACTGCTCATTGAAAGCAAAAGAGAGAAGTAAACAAAGAATGAACCCCCATATTTTATTACTTCCTGGTAAATGATTTGCTGGGGAGGCTGAAGCTCTTTGCTGAAATGAGGATTATGTATGAATCTCAATAATGCCTCCCAGTCCAGTGCTCTCTTACCTTAGACAATCAAGAGTTGGCTGTATGAACAGATGGTTACATCAAAACAATATACATTAAAAGTCGTGCTCACTTAAAAGTACGGTAAGATTTCTTTTCCATTCCTGAATGATGAGAAGATAAATGCATGGTTAATATTATACTTAACTCCAGCCCATATTTCTGACAATTGTTGAGTCTGGGTAAACCTGCCTAGCAATTTAGGGCTAATGGTACCATGCAGCTGTTCCTGAATACAGGTTTGAGATTAAGTGGTACATTCTGGGTGAGCACACTGGAGTCATGATAAACCTTCTCATTTTCACAGAATGGTCTACATTATTTTAAGTACAAAGTATGGTGACAAGAGGTTACATTACTTAGAAAATCTCCTCAATTCCACTAAAGGAGCATAATGGAATCGCTGGAGAAAATGAAAGTCCATCCTGTGTCAGATTGAGGTGACTATTTGTGGAAGTAACATTGGAAGGTAAAAGGGTCACACGTTTTCGTGATGGTCAGCCAGTGGGTGACAACTACACTAAAAGAGATAGGAGCATCAAACTAACCATGGAATCTAAATGCTTTCACAAGCTTCATTTCAGAGAAAATCAACTGAGGCCAACCAGATATTTCATTTTTTAATATTATTTCTTCCAAATTATGAAGTCATAACTTGATCTCGTGTTAGTTGTCACCAAATGACTTCATACACTGTTCATTAAGCTGTATGGTTAGACACAGAAAGGACAATGACTTTCCGGATGGTTTAGGTCAAAGGTGCTTCAGGAATGCAAAAGAAAAGCTATTCTGTCTGGAACTATACATGAAAGTTTGCACTGTGAACAATAACACCAAGATGAGATTACATCAGAGAAGAAAGGATGATCACTAAGAATTCAGTATTTCTTTCAAATAATACTTGTCCAAGTAAATTAAACTTCATACAAATATAGCAGCAGACATTTTCTTTTCTTTTTTTCTTCCCACTTTTCCCTTCAGTTAATCAACTTAGGGAGATTTAGTAAAAATGGATTGTATTTATATTTTACTGAAGATTCTCTTTTACTTTTAAAAAAGTATAAGGCTCTAGAAAATACTATGTAGTAGATATACCACCATTAAAAAAAGTAAACATATAGGTGTCAAATCTATAGTTTTGTATTGTTTTTAAAAAGTCCCCTAAAACTCAGAACATCCCATCTGAAACATAGGTCATAACACTTTGCCAGCAGGAGTTCTCACCACACCTTCCCATCCAACCAAATTAAAAAGATCTTGTGATTGATTTGAAGAAAGACATACACATGCATACATAGACACACACCCATGTTTTCGAACAATGAGAAATACGTAGAAGACATTATGGAGTACTTCGTAATGTAGAATGCTTACAGAGACTTTGATCATTTATAATAGTTTTTTCCTACACTATAAATGTAAGTATGTACATATGTATAGAGGTTATAAATGTACTTATTAATGAACAAATGTTTCAGGAATTAATATTTAACAGTCTTATATTTTTATAAATTTGACATTTCCAAATTTATGCTTACTTAAAAGTTGACATAATAAAAGATTATAAAATATTTCATGTTATCCTTCGTGGAACATCTATCTTGTAACATTTTTAGGAAGATATTTCTTCCCACATAAAATTTCTATCTTTATACCATGAAGGCTTATCTGCCAAATAATAGTAATTCAGGTAATTCCTACATTCTTGCCTATTTCTTGGTTCAGGAGCTTCTCTGAGTTGAGTTTTTGCTCATACATGGCCTACGGTCAGATCTGGGTTCAAATTGAGAATTAGTTTGTTATTTCATTTGAAGAATACTTATCCAAGTAGATTAAACTTCACACAGATACATGAGACTTTTGCTTTCCTTTCCCTTTCACTCTTTCCCCTCCATGGGAGGAGACTTTGTCTGCTGTCAAGGCCAGAACTCTGCCTTCCCTCTATGTCCCTGCGACAATGCACTGTCCTTCTAGACAGAGTTCAACTGCGAGGGTCCTTTCCAATGGGGACCAAGTATTGTTACTCTTTAAAATTAAAAATATATTTTAAAAGATGTGAAGTTAGGAAGGGAAGAATTATGAGGTGAAAAAAATATCTTTTATAAATCTGCACACTTTACAAACATATATTCACGCTCTAACTCATATATTAATCATACACTCTACCGTTGACTCTAAAAAAGGAAAAAAAAAAAAACCAAACCTATAATGAAATCATCCCTACATTATGAATGGTACTCTAAAGAACAAACTTTCATACGTCAGAATACCAGGCAGTGGAAACTAATCAGTAGGATTTTCAACCTCTACTTTTTCAGGAATGTCCCTAATGTAAGACCTTAAGTGCCAATGAACCCACAACACAGTTTTGCAATGGTGAGAAAAGTGTCGTCAAAGATCTCTTGAATTGATTTTGTAGCCACTTCCGTTTGTCATTTTCTAATCTAAGTAACCAAGCAAGCACGGACATACTCTACTTTTGAATCAATGTTGGGATAAGTATTGCCAAATCCAGATATTAGACAAAGAAAGTCATAAATACTGTGAGAAAGTGAGATTGTGTCAAAGGGTAGAATCTGGCCTAAATATTAATGGAAAAGATGCTGCCCATTTCAGGGTACATGTCTAGTCAGACTGGTTGTGAGTTTTTCTCAATATAATTTAAAACAGATGTAAAATAAAATATGAAAAAAATTCAATGTTTCAATGTGTAAACCTATAAACTTCCAGAAATGAATATAAAGTAGACTTCTAAATAATCATGATAAGGCGGTGTTTTATTAAGCAATTGAAAATCAATTTGGACCCTCCACTCTAAAAACAGTGGAGCTATATGAGATTATACCAGATTTGTTTTGTTTTTTAAAAAGACATGCCAGTCTTGCAGACATTTCTTTTAGCATATCCCGGAACTGAAAAGCAGGTTAAATTTAGCCTTTAATTTTTACTAAAGGACCTGAAATTAGATCATCTGAGAAGATTAGTTGTTTTTTCAAACCAGAGCAGACCATGGATTTCTGGTAGGATGGTATCGCTCATTTCAAGTTTTCAAGTAAAGAATCAGTAGGAAACCTTAGGAAATAAATAGCAAAATTTTTGGAGTTCTGCTGCACTGGTTGGAAAAGTCTCAACTTTGCCTGAAACTGGTCCTGATGAATTGTTACTCTTAGATTCTTAGTTTCAAGAGGAAAATCTATTTTAAAATTAGAGAAGTATTTAAAGAATGCAGAAGACCTCAAAAATCACTTTAATCGCAAGTGTTTAAAACAAAGCAATGATCCTCCCAATGACTTAAGAATGTGGGAACAATATTTTATCATGTTTTATGGTTCCAAACTACTACAAGGGAATTGACTATCTCTTTCCCCTTACACTAATGAGGTAAATTCTATGTTTCTATTCATTCCCCCCCTAAAACATCAGCTACTGCTGGACAAAGGCAGAGTCATGATCTTCAGAGAGTTAACCTAATATGGAATTCACATTTACTTGTTAGCTACAATACATTTGTTATCTCAAATCTGACTGCACTGGGCATTGATATCCAGATGCTCCAGCGATAAACTGCTAACAGTTGTTTCCTGCCTCAGACTCAAATGAGACTACAAATCTAATGTATGCACTGTATGTCCTCTAATTCATCATTGAAGTGAAACACAAATGACAAAAATAAATTTATATATGTATCTATAGATCAGTTAAAGTGGTTTGGCTTGTACCTGTAATTAAATTTCAGTTTTTGAACAAACCTCTTTGTATAACTAAACATTCATTGCACAGGTAGACATTATTCATATAAAATTATCAGTAGGGAAGTATTTTGAATGAAAGGAAAAGGAATATAATTTTAAAAAGAACTGCCCATCTTTTCCTATTGAGACCATTTAGTAAATATTCATTTCTTCTCATGAAAGACAGAAGCATGCAGAGCATCTCTATGAACATGCAAGGTAAGTTGTTGCATTCCAGCCCAATTGATCTTTGTTAGTTTCAAACAGCTCAGTATATGAAAATTTTAGTTCATTAAGCATCCTTTTACATGTAAAGAGTGTGTTTTCACTTTTATTATGGTCAGCATCACCCCTTTTAAAATACAAAACAATCAACAACACTCAGCAAGCAAAGCATGAAAAGTACATCATTTTGCAATAATAGTTTTCATATCACACAGGTGAATATGAGACAGTACAAAGATCACACTAAAATAAAGATGTTACCTTTTGCCCTGGACGACCAGATTCTCCAGGTTCTCCCTGGCCAAAGAAAGCCAAAGATGAAAAGCACAGTCTTAGAAGAATTTTCCAAAACCCTTAGGCCTCTGGGCACTCTCACAGAGATAGCCCAGCCTCCTTGATCACATGTATTTTATTTACTTTATTATGTTACTCTGTGCCTCCCCAGACACAGCAATGGGTTTGTTTGTTTGTTCTGCTGTGAATATACCTAAAGCTCACATAATAATCCACATTTCCATTAAAGCCCTTCAGAAAGGGAAGAGAAGGCAGGACCTCTTTATTTAAGTTTTTATCAGATTTCCAGCATATACTTCCTATTGTGTTTGGAACCTGATTATTGCAAGAGAATAGGAACAGAGTCATAACCATCAAAGCTGATAAAGGGGAAGAGAAAGCAGAGGCTTAAGAAAATCAAAACTGTATCTCTTGGGGTACAAACTCTTGTATGTCTAGAGTTACCTTAATTCCAGCAGCAGATGATCCAGGGTCCCCCTAAAATGAAACCCATGACAGATTATTCCACAAATTATGGAAATAGGAAACACGCACGCACACAGAGAGAGCCATTATCGACAGGGGCCCTCAAGGGACCCCCATGACTAATGGGCTTAACTGGCTCCCCAAGACTGTGTATCATTCTGTCAGCTGTTAAGATGTGAACAATTTCCGAGACAAACAATGCACTTTCAAAAAACCTAAGTTTACTTTGAATGCAAAATACATAAGAACCATTATAGTCTTTGAAATAAATACAAATATATAAATATGGACCTTTCCCTTCATATACTGCTAAAATTGTATTCCAAAGCCATAAGTTATAATTTGGGGATCTGGAATTGTGGTTTTCTCTCTTTCTGGAATTTATTAATGTCAGTGGCTACCATTTAGTGGGAGTTCCCTGACCCTTTCACTCTTTGGAAAGTCAGGGTTCAACAGATGAAGTCAAGGGTTAATGATGCTGATCTGGAAAAAGCCACGCAGCAGGTCAGCTTGTCTTCCTCACAAACCACTGTCACAGCCATTGACCGGCACATTTTTGGGAGCTTTACACTTATTTCATTGTAACACAGTCACTGGAAAGTTACAGGATGATGAATGACTTGTGGGTGACAGGGATACATGTGAGATCTGAAAGAAAATCTTGAGACAGAATCTGGTTTTCTAAAAGGCACTGTATTCCATCCGCATTTCATAGAGGCTGACTACATTTTGAGAGCAAACGTGTTATAAATGAGCAGATAGGGACGAGTGGGAAAGAGTGTGTGATAGTTGAGAAGGCTGCTTTTTCTGAAATCAGGCCAACAAAGGACCAGCATTTCCAAGCTCCTTCCAGCTCTTCATCCCATGAAAATAGAGAGGGAATGCTGAGCTTTTTGAGACCCTCAAGAAAATAGAAACAGCCATAAGGAGGAAGGCGTCTCTAAGGGGATCTCTTTGGCTGCCATATCCGTGCAAGTGCTCAAGGAGCTCTGGGGGTCTGTTTCCTTGTTCTAGATTTAGGAAGATGCTCATCACTTTCATTTAGAGAGAGATTGGAGCCCTTGTCCCCCTCCCTTGATTCTTTCCCCCGTCCCCTCTTCCTATGGCTGACACCTTCTCTTTCTCCGGATCTTGGCTGAAGTGGCTTTGCCTCAAATAACCCTTCCCCGACCAACCAACTTAGACCCATGCCCCTCACACACACACACACACTGCACTATGCAGTATAGCTTGCTTTGTAATTATGCATTTATTTATGTTTTCTGCCTATTCTTTGTGGGTCCGTCCATGAGACAATCAGATTGTGTCTGTTTTTTTCAGTGCCTGGCCCATAGTATATGCTTGATACATATATGGTGAATGAACAAATCTCAAAAAGAATGTCTTAAGCAAGTCAGAAGTCAAAAATAAAAATAAAAAAAAAAACCTTTAGGAAGAAAAAAAAGCTTAGGAAGGAGAAGGAAATAATAAATAAGCTTATTGAAAAAAATTTATGTATATGTGTGTTTCTTTGACATCTGTAATTACTATCATCCAAGGAAAAATAAAACATGATGAAATATAAAGAAGACCCAAAATATTATAGAATGACACTTATTTCTCTTCCTAATCATTCATAATCAATTGAGTTCCATATAGGAAGTGAAATAAATATGGCTAACAAAATAATACCTATATCTATTTCTACTAAATATAAATCTGAAAGCCATCGACACCAATGAATCAGGTTTGCAAGACTTTGCACAAGACCTTTGTCTTAATAAAAGCAATTTTGACTTGGCTAAGTCTCTTCTTTCATATCATTTATACCTCACAAAACTCCCAGGATTTAGGTCAGATATGACTATTTTCATCTACTAGATGAGGAAATGGAAGCAACTACAGGCTAAGTGAACTTTGGACTTTGTAGATTCTTTTGTCATAAGAAAAGAATTATTTGTTTATTTTATTTTGACAACAGGACATAAAGGTTGTAGTAAATTTGTAAATGAAGGAAGCTGCTTGTATTAACTATAGTTGAAAAATATTTATTCAGTGTTTTAACAGAGAGTGGCTAGTTAATCCACTAATGAGAATAAAGACTAGATTTAGTTCTCTTTGAAAGTAGATGGAAAAAAGAAAATTTCCTGAAATGCTTATTTATTTGTGCAAATTGGAGCAGCTTCATTTGATGGACAACTATGAGTGATATTTTAATTCTCTTCTTAAAAAATTAGGACTGTGAAATCTCAAAGAATTTTTTGAAACTTTAAGTGGAAAAGCAACTGCTGGGAGACATTCATAAGTTAAACATATTAAAGGATAATGCTACTAGTAGTGGAAATAAAAGTCAGTGTTTATAATCCGCATTCTGCAAACAATGAAAATGAATACAGGATTAAAGTTGGAAAAAATGCCACAGTGTCTTAAATATACTCTCAGCTTTATAAATCAGTTGGTTGGGAAATAAAAGTTTTCACAGGACAAATCATAAATGCGGAAAATACTTTGAGAAGATACCTGAGGTGAATAAGTCTTACTTGACTATTTATCATTTAAGCACAGAGAGTTCCATTTTTAGTTGTGATCATTTTCAAACACAAAACTTGGTATATAATTATACGACAAAGTCTGTCTGGAAAAACCCAGCCATTGTTAACATAATGAGAATGGTTTGCATGCCATCCATGTAACCTGGCAGCCAAGGAGAGTGGACTGGAATGCACACACATGAACAATGATGCCTTCACTGTACTAGTCAGTGGGGGCGGTAGATGCCCTTGAGTGAACATGTGTACTGTGTGGCCGTGGCATTCAAAATGACTGAACAAGTAGAGCAATGGATCTGCATCAAATTTTGCATTAAGCTTGAATATTCCTTTGCAGAAACTATTAGGGTGATTCAGAAGGCTGCACCTATGAGCACCTGGTGATTGGCAGTTTCATCACAACGTGCCCACTCATCCATCGCGCCAGATGCAGAGTTTTTGGCAAAACATCAAATCACTCAGGTGACTCAGTCCCCCCTACAGGATAGATTTGGCACCTTCGACTTTTGGCTTTTCCCCAAACTAAAATCACCTTTGAAAGGGAAGAGATTTCAGACCATTGAGATTCAAGAAAATATGACGGGCAGTGGATGGTGATTAGGAAACCTGTGTGAGGTCCAAAGGTGCCTGCTTTGAAGGGGACTGGGATGTCATTGTCCTATGTACGATGTTTCTTATATCTTGAATCTTCTTCAATAAATGTTTCTATTTTTCATATTATATGGCTGGATACCTTCTGGACAGGCCTTTTATGCATGTGTTAATGAAGTCTATGTGGATATATAAAGTGAATGTGGCCATATTTCTATCATTCATTAATTTATTCAGTAAGTATTTATTGACTGCCAGCCATATTCTGAATGCAGGGATGCTAGGGGCTATAAGGCGAGAGTAAACAATGTAGCTGTAATCCACACCCTTGTCCTGCGCTTATGATAATCATTTACTTATACATGTATACAAAAATATCACTGACTGAAAGCATGACTGATACTTTCTTTTCATTAAAAAAACCCTGGGATATGGCCCTGGTTGGTGTGACTCAGTGGATTGAGTGCCGGCCTGCGAACCAAAGGCTCACCGGTTTGATTCCCAGTCAGGGCACAAGCCTGGCTTGTGGGCCAGGTCCTCAGTTGGGGGTGCTCGAGAGGCAACCACACACTGATGTTCCTTTATCTCTCTACCTCTCTTCCCTTCTCTCTAAAAATAAATAAATAAATAAAATCTCTAAAAAAGATACCTGGGACATGAAGAGATTCTCATGTTTTGGAAATTCTGTGTCATTGTATATACACAGAAGACATGATAAGCAAATGCATGGTACAGGAAGGAGTTATATCATTCAGTGAAAATGAGAGTTGAAAGTAAAAAGAAAAAAATTTAACGATTGTTCATTCAATAAATATCTTTATGTTCCAGGAACTTGGACTGGTGCTAGAAATAGAACAGTTTGGTATCATATAGTTATTTGCTTTCTCTTTTTCAGTGAGTTGGATGTCCAATTCACAAAGAATTATAATAAATTGTAATACAGGCTATGAAAGGGATCATGAGGAGGGCTGTGGGAGCACACAGTAGGCAATGTAACCAATTCAGGGGAGACTGAAAGGCTGCTCCGGGGAAATGACATAAAATCAGGTCTCAGCTCCTAAAGAATAGGATTAGAAGGTGGATGTGGGCAGAGCAAGAGTGTCCTGAGCTAAAGGAATCATATGTATAAGTTAGAGAGGACTCTGCATTGACTGGGGTGAAAGCACCCACTGAGATAGCCCTTCATGTGCGATTTTAAGATAAGAAGACAATTTGCTTGGTGGTTCCAAATATGGCTGTGGTTTCTGCAAAGGCTCAGAGGTTGTAAATCAAAGGTGTTCTGTAGCCATAAACTAAGAAGGCAGTATATTTACAGGAATGAAGATGGGGGAGCAAAGAAAATGAAGGCACAGACAAGTAAACCAAAAAAGTGAAGGTGAAGCTTCTGAATCAACAGACAAAACTATAAACAAAAAAGTGGCATGTCCAAGCCGACTGTGCTGCACAGACATCTACTTTCAAGGGGAGGGGGTGGGGAACAGATAAGAAATCCATTTCTACATTTGTCGGTGCAGTCAACAGCCCAAAGAGCAGGACATAACCCTTCCATAGTGACTCCACACATGATTGAAACCAGTTTCTGGAGGGCCATTCTTAGACCTAGCGTGCACAGCTTTCACTGGCCACGGAGAAGCCCAGCCCAGTGGTTTTTACAGTTGCACAGTGTTTCCAGATGACCAGTCTGGAAAGGCTTAGATTGCTTTACCATTCAAAGGCACTGAGTTGGATCAAAAGGAAAAAAAATCCTATTAAATTGGATCAGTCAATGATGTAATTTTTACTACATCAATGGCAGAAAAGGAGCATTTTTTGATTTTACATTTCAAACTTGGTAAATGATGAATTAGTTTCACATACTAAACTCAAAGGCCATGAGAAGAGCATTTCCAACATGCTGGAAACAAATTATGTGACAGAAGCAGGAAATGTTTTTAAAAACACATCCAAAATTATATTCCAATTACAGCATTCTCGGGAATGAATGCTACAGGTCAGATTACATATTATACGTTACAGATTCCTATTTACAATTCCCTGTTTAGGCCATTGAAAGTTTATAGAAATGATTTCCGTTTTAACTGAAGCATTTCTTGTACTTAATTTCAGTTGACTAATAAAACTTTTTGATAAAAAAGGAAAACAACGAACCTAGTTGATTTCAATTTCCATGTGGTAAGAAAGCTAACATTTATTGAGAGTTTACTATGTGTGAGTCAGTATGGTAAATGATTTGCATTAATATAAAAAATAAGAACAGTATTCCTTTGAGATGAACTTGGTCTTGTAAAAGAAAAAAGGTGCTTTACTATTGGAAAATTAAATTTTAAAAATGTGTGATTAAAGAAACAATTATTGGCCTACAGTCCAAAAATGAAGCTTTAAAATACATCTTCTGAAGCATAAAATTCTCTACATAAGTTCACATAGGCGTAGTTCAGACTCGGTGTATATCTATATATATATATCTATATATATACCTACATCTACATCTATATCTTATTTAAAGAAAGTGCTCTCAGTTGAGAGCACTTTCTTTCAGCAGGGGTGGGCAACTATGGCCCATGGGCCAAATCAGCTACCCACTGTTTCTGTGTTGCCCACAAGCTAAGAGGCTTTTATATTTTACATGGTTAAAAAAATCAACCATAATATTTCATGATGCATGAAAGTTACACAAAATTAAAACTTCAGCACCCCAAAATAAAGGTTGATAGCACACAGTCATACTCATTTGTGTGCAGATAGTCTATGGGTGCTGTCACTTTATAACCACCGAGTTGAGTAGTTGTGATAGAGACCACAGGGTCCACAATGCCTAGTATTTAGTGTCTAGCCCTTTACAAGAAAAGTTTGTTAACTTCTGCTTCTGAGCAAAACAAGAAAAATTAAATATAACATCCAGGTTTATATATATGGGGTTTGACATTTTGACTTCAAGAGTAATCGAGGTATATTGTTCTCATTAGTATTAAACGCATTCATGTCATATTTGATTTCAGCGTGATACTTAAATTTGATAGGCAACTAGAATGGGTCTAGAGCAGTGGCTCTCAACGAGGGGTAATTTTGTTCTTCAGGGAACATTTGGTGATATCTTGAGACGGGTTTGGTTGTCACAACTCAAGGGTGCCACTGGCATATAGTAGGACAGTCCCCACAACAATGACCTTAACCTATGTGTCAATAGTGCTGAGGTTGGGAAACCTGGTCTACAAGAAACTGACAGTCCACCCAATCACCTGACTGCTCCTTGAATACAAACACAGTTGCTACTTGGCAACATTAATTCATTCCTACTACCATGCCATATTTATATTAATATTTATAAGAAGGAGAAAGATAAAATTGCTCTTTATTTTATGGGTATTTTTTTATGACTAACAATTATCCATCTGTACTATAATAATCTTCAAAGTGGAATATCCTTATTCTGAACTGTAAGCTTAAATGAATAATTCAGTTTTTTCATTACTCAATTACTTAGGTTGATTTAAATTAAAATATGACTGACTATTCTATTTTCAGTTTCTTAAAAGATCTTCTTCATTCTTAACAGATAGCATAAGTGAAATAAAATATCCTTCTTGTGTCAGAGACATCTGTAAGTATGAACCAAAGCAAGAGCTCTCATGATAGATCTGGGGGAAAAAAAGAGAGGAGGCAGGAAGATGAGCCAGTCAACCATTGTAATATAAATAATGGGGTAAAAGATCAAAAATAATGACAGAACAAAGGCTGACAAAATATTCAGATTTAGTAGATTTCAAGTTGAGGCAAATCTTCAAGAATGTATTAGAGACATTAAAGCAACATTTACTTATAAACTTCTAAATCTCACCCCAATCCTCTGATGTGTTCTCTCCTAACATTGGGACAAATAGAATCACTTTAGAAAGTCCATTGTTACATCTCTGCATATAAAGGTTGTATGCCATTTACACATGAATAAGTGTTTTTATCCCTTGAAAGGCATATCACTGGAAACCTACCTACACATTTTCTAAAATTTGTAACATGCCATTTTATGTTTAAAGTAATTAAATTTGTCACTAGGAGGTTGTGGAATAATCACCTTTTATAAATTAAATGTTTTCTCAACTTGCAGAATTATCTCTTTTCTTGTCAAATAAAGATACTATCATTCACTTAACCTCTCTCAAAATCTCCCATTTTCATGTACACAGAACACTATTTCTTGCTCACGCACATACCCTTTCATTTTTCATAACATGGTACCTTTTCGCCGGTGTCACCTTTGGGGCCACTCTCGCCAGCATCGCCCTAAGAGGGGAAAAAGAGATACACATAAATTATATTGGTCACATTACGTAAAGAGTATTTTCCATTATTTTAAGTTTTCTTTCATAAGCACTATATTCAAAATCCGATGCAAGTGTTCTATAGAGCTAATGTTCTTTTCCTCGACCAGCTGCCTGATATCACCAGTCCAAATATATTTTATTACAATGAACATGGCTGAACAGGTTTAAACTACTCCATGATATTAATGGAAAGCAGCAATAATGGAATAACTCCATGATATTAATGGAAAACCTAAGAGATTGTGCTGTCACTTAAAGCCTCCCTATCTCTCTCTCTTTTTGCCTCTGCTCAGAGCTCCACTGTAACAAAGACCTTCTCCTGACCGTTCCCTCAATATGCCACGTGCCTGACCACCTCTGGGTCCATCCCTGCCGCCTGGACCCCTGACTCCTCCTTTCCCTTTGATCTGTGTATAGTCTACTTGAGTCTTCGGGCCCATCTCAAATCTCCAGGGCCTCCAGCCCTCAAAACCTGTGCCCTAGATATTTATCTGTACCTACATGTTTTGCATGTGTGAAATAAATGTTTTATGTTTTATTAGAAACCTGCTTTTTAAAAATCATACATTGGGGAGTTTACGTTTCCTTGGTTATTTTTGAGATTTCCTACGCCTATTCCCTTAATAACATCTCCTTTCTCCCACAAAGCAATGCATTAGGAAAAAAGTCATTTGTTTATTACCCATGCTTTGCCTCCTTAAATTCTGAATTCTTTTAAGTCTCATAGCATGTTATGGTGAAAACATCCCTGATTTGGAGCCAGAGAACCCAAGCACAGCTCCAGCACCTATTGGGCAAATGAAATTTTCTTTGCATCCTATTTTTTATGTGTAACAAAAGGGCAAGAATACTTTCTGGGGTCATAAGAAATAAACAATATATTGAGTGTAAAGCAACTAGGACAGTATCTGACACGTAAGCTGTTAATGATAGTTGTTAGCAACAGCAGTGCGTTATTGTTCTTATATTCCCCGACCTGCAAGGCCCTTCTGTCTACTTTCATAAGAGGTCACTTTTCACTCCCTTAAAAATTTCCTTAAGATAAGAGAGGAACTATTGATAATTGTTTTCCTGAGAGAAGGAGAAGGGTGAGGGAGGACGACGTTCTCTTCTTCCTCCCTGTTTTCTCCTCTTGTTTCGTAAGCATGAAGCCAGCCTGAGGCCTTTGTCTCCGGCCACGGACACCCCGCAGCAGCCCCGGAGCCGGAGCCCTGAGCGGCTTTATCTGAGGAGCGCGGATGGTGCTGGCACTGCCCCTTTTCCCTCCTTAGTGTCTACACAAAAGAGTCATCTGGTGACTAATTAATTTCAAGTTAATTACCATGAACTGGTTGGATGCCAAGTAAAAGTACGGATAATCTGTTATGAGGGACCTTTGATAGGAACTTGGCAGCACACTTTTTTTTTAATTGCTTGGAAATTCATTTATTAAAAAACAAAGTACCAACTTTCTTGTGTTCTACCTTATGCCAATTGTCTACATGGAGATCATAGTGGTCCAGGAAAGATATTTTTTTGTGTGTAGAGCTATCATGATGTTATTAATAAACAACTACTCTGCTGATGAATTAAAAAAAATATAATAAAGCTTTAAAAAAACAAAGGAAAGAGCCTCTCTTATTAGGAAAACTGGCTCAGAGTGGTCATGAAACAAAGGGTCTGACTGCCCTTTTGGTTTGCTCTCCTTCCATTTAGATAAATGCCTTTTTTTTTTTCATTTTACAATGTCCATACATACAGTTACATTCAATAAGTTTGCTGGATCTTCAGATGTACTTCTTTGGGATTAGAAGTGATAATATTGATTTGTCAGAAAGATCAGATCACTTATGAAGAACATTATGTAGTATCTTGGAAGTTTCCTATGCAAACAGTGCATTTCTTAAATACTATTCAATAGCATGAGAACCAGGAAAATTAGCACTAGGGAATGCACTGAAAGCCTAAAAGTAATCAGGACATGCCCAAAGGTAGTAAGGAAGGACAGCTAAGAGAAATTTAACATATGGCTCTCTTCTTTTTTTGTTTCTCATTTTGGCTTTTATGGGAATTCTTTGTGGGCAACTCGCAGTATATTCACTGCAGTAAACATCTGTATCTCTTTAACTTAGTGACCTAAGAAGCGGCAGAGAGATGTGGATGCTTAGAAAAGTACTGGAGTGGCATCAGCCAGCAGGGAGAGCAGAAATTCTGCAGGCCTGGGGATTTTGGAAGCCATTTAAAATCCAGACACAGAATGTTTAAATTTGTTCCTTTTCCTTCCATTTCTTTAAACTTTAAAAAAAAAACCTTATTTCTATACATAAGAATCACACCATTTTCTCCTTCCACTAATTAAGTTTGGGGGGAAAAAAACAGTGGTAATTATGTCTATATATCTATATCTACATCTGTCTATCTGTTCATACCTATATACAGTTCTTTGGGGGAAAAATCATAGGGAGAATAATTCTCACCTTTTCTCCTCGTTCTCCAGGCTCCCCCTGGGCAAAAGAATAAAGATTGAGTGACATATTAAATTATAAAACACCTAATTAAACAATACCAAATAAAATCAGGTATTGACCATAGTAGATAAATCATGTGATCTTTTGGGGGGGCAATATATTGTTGATATAAAAACAAATGGTCAGATGAGTTTCCTGTAGAATGGGATATGGATATCAATATCAAATATAATCATAATTCTTTGCTTTTAGGGGATTAAAGAAAGATATTTGAAATTATCATCCTTAAACTGGCTTTCAGGGCTCTAAGCAGAACAATGTGGTAGCAATTTAACGTCTTGGGCGGTTTCTTAGTCTAGGACTTTGTATTCTGCCCCAACTCAGAATCAGTAAGGTGGGCTAGCACATGCTTCATGAAGCTGTTATCCAACGCAGCCCCTGGAGCATGGGTTATTTCAGAGGCTCAGAGTTCCCACGCACTTCCCCAGTTTGTCTTCCCCTAACACGACTGTAAACACAGTCCTGAACTTGGACCCCTTCACAATCTCATGAACTCTCTTTAACCTACTGGTACCAGCATGTTCCAAATCAGGTGTATTTTGGAAGGCATTGGAACCTTCAGCAAAAGCACTAGAATGGCAGAATCAAAGTGAGTTTAGGAAATGTCTTTACTCAAAATAATGACCCAGTCAGTATGAGGACTAAAATGAAAAACTGTGCTCTGAAATGGATCTCATTTTCACTTTACCCAGGACTGGACAAGGGAAAGAGTGGGAGGGTTCCAAAGTAAATTATACACATTACAATAATATTTCCTTTATAAAAAGCACGAGTAAGTGTTGCCATGAGATCAACTGCTGAAAAAATGTTTTAAGGTGCGTATTGTGTGTTTAAAAATTATCACCCACTCTAGAAGTCAGTTTGGAGGCAAGACTCTTTTCATTCGCTGGAAGGCGGCCTGACCCTTTGGCTTTCTGAATTTCTGGCTAATTTTCAGTGCTCAACATCCATCCTGAGGGTCGCTAGGCAACAGAAGAATAGCACTAAGAATGTGCATTAAGCATTAACTCCTATCATTTGGCCTTTTAGCGTGGAACAGGAGAGGGAAACAACAGGAGCATGGCTGTAGTACCAGGAGGAATATTTTCTTTCCTCTCCTACAGGACAAAAGACAGGTCTACACATTTTAGGTCCATCCTAGGCGCCTGTCAATAGCAATGTGATCTGTAAAATCAGCTGACAGGCATCTGTGGGTATGGATAAACGCCAGCACAGCTGACAGGATTAGACGTTAGTTTTGTACTTCAAGGGATATTCACTCATCAAAGGATTTGGGATTTGTCTGCCTGTTTGGTTTAAACTAAACTGTCACCAATCTTTTTATATTTAACAGATTCGTTTGTTCTTCAAGAAACAAAGAAAACTTGCAATCCAAAAGAAATAATCTTCATTACATTTTTTCTCTGTTTAGTAATTGACTACATCCATTTTTACATTGCAAACATGGCACATCTTTATTCTGCTCTTTATCTCATTAACCGCTTATGTTGTATGAGTGCTATAGGTGATAGCCAAATCTTGAGGAAAAGCCATAGTGGCACTGTGAACATCATCTTTAGTAGGTTGTGTGAATATTATGCAAGTTTTAGACAATATGGACGTGGCCTACATTTTAATACACCCATATTAAGTGGCAAGTGACAACAGTCACATTTGAAATATGGGCTTTCTCATGTTTAAGTATCCCAGAATGTAGGTTTTAGACAATCATATCCTGCATTTGTAATGCTAACAAGAAACACAAACATAGTTTATTCATTAGTCACAAAGTTTGGTACTGAAGCATATTATACTGTTGATAAAAAATTCTACCCAGGTAAAATCAGTGGAATATTTTTAAAAATTGTAATAGCTCCAGTTTCATGAAATGATTCTGCTTGGTTTTATTTGTACTAACCTTTGGTCCTGGTGTTCCATTCTGCCCTACTGCTCCAGGCACCCCAGGCTCACCCTCAAAATAAAAAACAGATATGGCTAAATAAAATAGACAAAATCAGTACATTACATAGATCATTAGAAGATACAGCCATCAATACGGCTCTAAAAGTAGATGAAAAGTAATATCTACCACTGTAAATACAAGTTAGCTTGTTTGATTCAAAATTCCATGTGCTAGGCACCAAGGATAAAGCAGGGCTAATTTCCTTTGTGCAGTCTTTTCTCCATGAAGAAAGCTGAAACGACTTATCAATATGAAATGAGCATCTACCATGGTATATTGTAGGCAACAAATATTGCTGCCTGAGAAAAAGACATCTGAAAACATAAGACTCTCTTGGCAGAGAACTTTTAGGTGATTCATTGACTTAGGAAAATAGAGACTAAATCATTATGTTATTAAACTTAATCAAATGAGCGTTTCCAAATCTAAATCTTGAAGAGCATACACATCTATTTAATTCATTTAGACACATTTGACACAAAAGTAAAAAGTAAAAATGGCTTTGTTTTCTCTTTCCAATTTCACTGTAAAACTAATTAGAATTAACCATTCAGACGGTGGCTCTTGTGGCCATATTGAGAGAGAAGCATTTGGGAAAAAGACAACGGCTATAATGTTAGAAAGCATTCCATTTCAGAAAGCTTACCAGTCTTTCTAGACTCTGAACCAGCAATTGTTTCCCAAGGAGAAGTACCTTGAAAGGCCCAGAAGCAAAGGAGAGATACTCTGGCTCTCAATGCTTCCATATGGCTCCAACTTAACAGCAATTAGAATTTCATTTTCATTTAAAAACATTCCCAAGGCTCTTAACTATGTGCTCCAGCTATTGGACAACTTTCTTCTCCTGCTGATGGTAGTAAAATTCCTTCTTAGTTGATTTTAAAAAACAGATTTTATTATTAGGTTAGTTTTAGGTTCACAGCAAACTTAGAAGATTTTTGAGCATGTTTTATAAGTCACTTGGAAGGCAGGAATTGTGCCATTTTAATACTTGTGCTCTCAGAAAAAAATATACATAAACAGGTACATGTATAAAAATACGTGTACTAATAACATTTTAAGTGCCAGGAACTTTACATTCATTAACTCAATTATCAAAATTTCTATGAGGTAAGTACTATCTTTAGCTCTACTTAACAGATGAAGAAATTAAGGTACAGAATGGTTAAATAATTTTTTCAGATTTACACAGCTCCAGCCAAGATTTGAACTCTCATGATCTGGTGTAAGAGGTTGCGCTCTTATCCTCATTAGTAATTGGTTTATGCTACTCATTTATAAAGACTGTACAGAAACTTGAATAAAATATTACTTAGAAGATGATTTATGTACACCTATCAGATAAACCAAGTAATGTGAAGCTCATGGTGTCTTTCTGCAGTAGACGAGAAAAAAATGTTTTACTGTGATTGGATTATTATAATTGTGAAAGTGTTAACTCCCTGGAAGAAATCCCGCTTCCTCTATTAACTTACACTATAATTGTAACTCTCGCACTTTGCTTGGTAAAATGGCAAAACTGTCGCTTTGGATAACGAAGGCCATTATAGGAAAATTTTGATAGGTCATTTGTAACCACAAAGGGTAAGAACTTGGAAATAAAGTCCACTTTGAAAGAGGACCATCATTTTACCAGAAAAAGAGCTATCTGGTCTGCTTTCTTTAAGGACTCTGCAACAGAACACACTAATGTCGTAACTCACAGTAGAATACAAACAAGAGACACTGCCAGCAAACAACACAAATTCTGTTCAGACTTTCAAAGAATAACCGTGGTAGCCAGAACAACAATAATAAGAACGGATAAGCTGCCAGAACCAGACAAAATACATGCTGAGATTTTGAAGCAAGGGCGAGAAACATTGCTTAGGTATCTGCATAAAATCTTCCTTAATATATGAACATTGAGGGACTAAAACTTGATCTCTTTTTTTTTTGGTTGTACACACTGTAAAAATAATCTTTTAACACAAAAGGAAACAAAAACATTTGCACCCATAATCCCATGACCCTGTCATAATTGTTTTCATTCTGTCCTGTTTCCTTCTAGCCTTCTTTATGTATGTTTACATATTTTCAAGCAATTGTAAGCTGATTACATAGTTTGACATTCTGGTTTTTTATTATTTTATACCACACATATGTTTTCACATAGTATGCATGATTGTCTTGTGAATAGTTTAATTACCATCTATCAAAGTTAGGTGTGATCATTTGTTTAATCTTTTCTAAATTGTTGAATATGTAGGTCATTTCCAAATTTTGCTATTAAACTAAAAGGAACACCTGTGAAATATTTCTTAATTGCTTTCAAAAAGGGTCCTGAGTTTTATCTGCTTGTATAGGAGCCCACTCATGCGCACTAAAGATCACAGTCTTAACAATTTTTGTGGCTGTTTTAATAAGCCCAAAAGAAAGTTTACTGTTGCTCAGTTTTACATTTATCACTGTAAGGTTAAATATTTTTCATATGTTTATAATTTAAATATGTATCTCACAAAATGTAAAAGCTAAAAAGTGAATAAGCTGTTTCCTGAATGAATCAAGGGAGGATGGAAACGAGAAGGAAAAATGGCTCATAGAATTTTACCTTTCTAATAAGTCGTATCACAAAAAATATATTTAAACTTAGATTAGAATGTTATGGAGCATTCTGCTATTATCCAAGCTTAGTTCCCTAGGTTGTGAGAAAGAAATGTTAAAGATAAAATGCCATCTAATTCTGAGTACCAATGTAAAGCTATGGGATCCTGGAAGGCATTAATTCATTCAACTAGCACTGAATTTAGTGAAAATTTACTGTTTGTTCAACTCTGGACTATTTCAAGGGATAGAAAGATGAAATAGACATGACAGATGTCTGTGCCTAAAGAGCCTATTTTTGAGGGAGAAAAAAGATACAAAAATAGCTTGAGGGCATCTAATTTAAGTTATAGAACTATTTTTTAAGCAAAGTTTTCTTATACATCACAAAGTGAAGAGGCATAGTAAATAAAAATCAAAGGTAAGTCTTAATAAAGAATGAATCATATGTCATATATTATATTCACATTTTCTGATATGAGGAAGAAATATAATTATCAGGAGACCTCATCAAATAAAGTTATAATGATATTATATTGCTATATAATGTAGTAAAAACATACATAAGTAGCAAAATATATCAGAAAAGAACAGATCAAAAAAAGGGGATTAGGCTTTGTGTGTGTGGAGAGCTAGTCTCTTTTTGTTGGGTAATCTATCCATTTATTTCTAAATACATTTCACATTCACAAGTTCTGAAGGACAATCCAAAGACATAACAAAGAAAAACAGCAGTTGACATCTTAACTGTAGGTAGATTGATGGGGTTTTCTCTACTATATCTTAAATTCTAAGGCTATTTCTGGTGTATTGTTCCCAAATGACAATTTGCATATTCAAGCTAAAAATAAGTTGGGCTGACTTTCAAGAAGGATGACTTGCCGCTTTCTTTTCTTTTTTCTTTTCTTTCTCCTTCTCTCCCTTCCTTCCTTTCTTTCTTTTAAACCAAACACTCTTTAGAACTCTATTGTAAAACATCACCCAGGGCTTTTAAAATTGTTTCAGGTACGGCTATTCAGGAGCAATCTGAAAGAATTCTTAAAGATAGAAAGGAATGCAGTTTTCTTAGGAAACTAAGTGCTAAAGGGAGTAGGTTATGTAGCAGCAACATGGCTGGCCAACACTCAATCACAATTGTTTTTCATTCCATCAATGAAAATGAGTCACAGCTTCAAATCTGTAGCATAATAGAACGTTACATTCCCTTGTCAAAAACAGCAGTGGATGGAGTGTGATATTGGACATGACATGGCCTCAGTCTCGCGATGGTTCTCCTGCCTCTGGAGTTGGTGATATCGGTGCACCTGTGCAATAAAGTAAAGACTGAACATGGGCAGTGAGGTCCCTAATACCTCTCTCTAAAACACTGGGTGTTCGGGGCCTTTCTTCCTGTCAGTGGCAGATGTTGAAGGATCTCAGTGGCTTGAGTGGCGAGCAGGACTGGCCTCTAGTCAGTCATCCTTCTCCTACAGACAGTAGCTGTCCCTCTGTAGGGCCTCCGGGCCTCACGGGCTTTGGCAGCAATGGGATAAACAACCCTTGGTAGAGGAGGATTCCTTCCAAGTGAGGCGCCCGACAGGGACTTCAAATATAACTGGGGAAAAATTACAAAAATGGGGTTTCTGCTCTCCATTCCTAGGCATTCTTTCCCTCTGATTTTCATTCTAGTTTTTCATTCTAGTCCCCTAATGGCAAATGACTGTCAACATGATCTTCGGTGAAGGTGGGAGGTCCAAAATAACCAACATTTTTTACCTTAAAATTTATAGAAATGTAGCATTTTATCACACAATAATATAAAATAAGAATCCTCACCCCAACCTTTGAGTGTAATCAATGCTCTAAAAGAATCCTTGGAGTTTTTGTGCTCGCGCACATGTCTCTGAACTCCCAGGGATACTCACCCCCAGCTTAGGAAGTTTGACTTAAGAGAGATCCCTTGGACACTAATAACACACAGTTCAGCTCCGTTATCTTTTTAATAAGTTTGTGTGGGTTGGCCTGCTGAACTCTTTATCCTCAAAAACAGCTTCTTATATATATTATCTATACATATTTTTAAGTCTAAAACACAGCCCATATATATATTGGTGGTCAACAAATGTCCCCTTATTACAGGGGTGGCCCTGGGGTCCCCACCACTGTCAGCGCTCCCTATGCCTACGGCTTACCTTATTTTTTTCTAGTGCACTAATTACCACATAAGGCATAACTTTTTGTTTCTTTTTTGTTTCCCTCACTATGGCTGCCAGGTTTGGGAGATAAAAATACAAAGCACCCACTTCAGTTTGACTTTCAGATAAACAACAAATAGTTTTTTAGTTAAGTACAATATATCTCAAACATTAAATGGGACACAGTCATATTAAAAATTATGGGTTGTTTAAGATTCAAATTCATTTGGGCATTCTATATTTTATTTCCCA